GTTCCCTTGGCTCCCTTGTCTGTAATGCCGGGATAACGAATCTCCTAAAGCGTAACTGCTTTACAGCATTATTGTAGGATGGGTGGAAATCTCTTCTCCTGGGAAGCACTTACGGAAATTGCTTTTTTGCTAGCAGAGTTCCGAGGCACGGCAGTTGTTTCAGCTTACAGGGCTCTTGTAGCAAACAGGATACATTCTACAAGACAGAAGCTCCATAAACAATGGGAAGCAGATGGAGAAATCTCTTCCCGTTTTTGTTTTTGTTTTAAAAAAACAACAACTCATGAACCAGGAAAAGGTAGCCTGTAACTAAGCAGAGGAACCAAGAATTACCCCATGGGGAATGGTGCAGGTTCTTCCTCTTGAGATGATGATTATATAAAGGAGTATGTAAACAAAGCCTCAATTAACAGTTAAAATGCTGCCTTGTCGCTTATGAGCAGCCATGAGATGTTTATAAATTTATTTTCATTTTCACCAAAACATATTCATTTCAATCATATATATTTCATAACAAAACGACCATCTATATTTAACATTATTTATCTTTAACTAGCCTTTTAACAATTCTGTTACAACTTATGCATCTTCAACCATTCATAAATTTCCCCCCATCTACTCCAAAATAACTCCTCCGATTTATTTTGCAAAGCTATATTTAACTTATCAATTTCAGCTACTTCTAAAATTTTACACTTAAGTTCTTTTATCTATGGTATACTTTTAGATTTCCATCGTTTAGCTATTAATATTCTAGCTGCCGTCAAAATGTATACTATTATCTGGTTATGCTCTTTTATAGTATCTGGTATCATGATACCAGCCATGAGATGTTTAGTGCTAGCAAAGAAGAGCTCGCTTGAGAGAAAAAAGGAATGGTCTGATGACTGCGAGAAGTAGGAAGGCAACGGGTCACATGGAGCCTTGTTCTTCTGTCTCTGGGAGCCCCTTTACGAATCACTGACGGAGACTACTGTTCTGCCGGAGGCTGATTGTCCCTTAAAGGCAATTGGTCTCTTCCACATTTGATTTCTAATCATGTGAATTACAGGAGTGACAAACTTGTCATTTTTTATTTTATAGTGGGTCAGTGCAGCCCTTGAAAAGGTCACCTCTTGAGAGCTCCTTGGCCAGGGCCCCTTCACCGGGTCCCTGGGGGGGGTTGCGAGCCTGCGCACCCCCTCCCCCAGCCGGAGAACAGACCTTCCCCCGGGAGGGACTTCGCAGTACTAGGGAGCCATGCTTGGGGACACCCGCTTCCTCTTTGGAGTGGATTTCCCCATCCCTTTTGCCCTTAATTGATAGGTTCTCGGACCGCCTGATGCTGTGAGGGCGAACAGGCTATTTTGGTGAAGGTGTATCAGGGCAAACCTGACCAGCCACTCTTGACTTACCTGTCCCAAGGATCAGGTTGTCATTGGTAGCTTAAATGCACTGAATCCTACCCATAGCCACATCTGCAGTCTGGTTTACTATCTCAGTGCCTAATCAGAGAGAGAAGAGGAGGAGATTAGGTATATACCCCACTGTTCACTACCTGAAGGAGACTCAGAGTGGCTTACAATCTCCTTTCCCTTCCCCTCCCCACAACAGATACTCTGTGAGGTAGGTGGGGCTGAGAGAGCTCTCTCGAGAACTGCTCCTGAGAGAAAAGCTCTGAAACAACTTGTAACTGACTCAAGGTCACACCAGCAGCTGCATGTAGAGGAGTGGGGAATCAAACCCGGTCCTCCCAGATTAGCACTCCTAACCACTACACCAGATTGGTACACAGAACCCACTGGGTCTGTGCAAGTACAATGCTATTCCTTTCTAATGGGTTAAGAAGTTGAGAGCATATGGCTTCTTTGCCCACTGGATTCTCCACACCCCAGGCTGCATTTGAGCACTTTGTTGGTGCTGATGTTGCAGTAAAGGGTAGCCAGACTTTCCCTAGAACAGGAGTCCCCCAACCTTTTTGAGCCTGCAGGAACATTTGGAATTCTAACACAGCATGGTGGGTGCAGCAACAAAATGGCAGCCACAGGAGGCAAAGCCATCCACAAAACGATTGCCACGGTTTAACTTAACACAGGGTAGATACTTGTGCTTTTGGTGGCAGCTGCTGCCAAAGCAACGTTGTTGTTTTTTTAATTTGTGCAGCGCATCAGGTGTCTTGCTGGGCAAAAGCCCTACCTGGCCTCAACCGCTTCCTAAAAACACTTGGGGGTGCCACGGTGCCCACGGGTACCATGTTGGGGGACCCCTGCCCTAGAACCAGGGTCAGAAGCGGTGGCTTGAAGTAACTCAGCTAGGTTTGAGGTCAGAGCCCAGACACTTCGATGTGGCTTCTGTTCTCTCTCTTCCCCAGCCAGCCAGCCGTTGGAGAGCCTCATGCCAAGTTTTCCAGTCTGGGGAGCTGCTGCTGTTGGCAGGATACCACTGTTTGAGGCTGCTCTTGCCTGTCTTTGCCCGAAGGGCTATTTGCCGCCTTAGGGCAGACCAGAAGAAGCTGCACGTGCCACCACAAATGGTAGCACCCATTCCAGAGACGTCTGAGCTTGTGGCAGCTCGTGGCCAGTTGGGCTAAGGGAAGCTGCTGTGTGTCCGCGGCCAGGTGGCCCCATGCAGGCCTTCAAGAAGCGGCGCAGAGTGCCAAGGGGGCCCAGGAGGAAAGAGCTGTTTCCAGGAGCCTTCCTCGCCCGTCACTTTGGGGGAGGAGTTCTAATCTGCTGCCTTGTGCCCTTGTCAGATCCTGGATGCCAGGCTGGACAAAATCAGTGATTAAAGATTTAAAAAAAAACAAAAAAAAAAAAACCTGAATTTCCCCCCGATAAAATGTTTTTGAGGAAACTAAACTGATTTTTCAATAGGTTTTTATTAAGGTAGTTTGTTGTTAATGTCTCATACTGTAGTGTTTAATCTATTCATAATGTTTTTAAAAAATCTGTCAATGAGTTCCAGTAGTTCATGGATAAGGTACCCAGTCTTATGGGGTTCCGGGGGCTTCTGTATAGATAGTTTTAAGTTAACCTCTCCATCCATCCAATAGCACTCATTGCTGAGTCTGGAAGATAGAGATGCTTAATTTTGCATTGCCCCAAACTGTGGATTTATCTCTAGAGTGAACAGCGGAAATGTTTGTGAAAAATACGTAGAGGTGAGGAAAAAACAACAGACCTCACCCCTATGGTGTTTCTGCAAATGTGTGTGCAGAGTCAGACTCTCTGTAACAGAGCAAAGTTTCAAGAACTTCAGTGAACAGGAAATTGTTGGTGATGGAATTAGGAGGCACCCCCAGGAACTTTGGGGACAGGGCAAGGCGGTGGACGTGACATCAGCCGACGCTCTGGAAACTCTATTATATTATGCAGTGTTATTTCCACTTACAGTTGCCAACTACAGGTTAGGAAATTCCTGGAGATTTGGGGGTGGAGTCTAGGGAAGGTGGAGACCGGGCCAGGCTCCTGCAGTGGCTCTAGCTTAGTACTTGCTGCCAAGTGGCTGTTGTTGCTTCACGCCGGCTGGGGGTGTGGGAGGGCAGGGACAGTGAGCAGTAGTCACTGGCCACACTGGTGCTGGAAAGTGTGTGTCCATATTGGGTAAGTATCCGATTCATAATGTGTGGAATTCACTACACTGTAGAGTTCACGTGTTCATTTATGAGTGTTATTTAGCCTGGTGAGACATAGGCTGGGATTTCTCTAGATCAGCGGTTCTCAACCTGTGGGTCGCGACCCCTTTGGGGGTCGAACGACCCTTTCACAGGGGTCGCCTAAGACCGTTGGAAAACACAAATTTTCGATGGTCTTATTGTTTTTGTGATTAATCACTATGCTTTAATTATGTTCAATTTGTAACAATGAAAATACATCCTGCATATCAGATATTTACATTACGATTCATAACAGTAGCAAAATTAGTTATGAAGTAGCAACAAAAATAATTTTATGGTTGGGGGTCACCACAACATGAGGAACTGTATTAAAGGGTCGCGGCATTAGGAAGGTTGAGAACCACTGCTCTAGATCCTTGTGCTGGTTGTTATTTGCTAGTTTCCGAGTCCAACAGGAAACCCCAATAATAGGCATAATGCATAATGTATCATTTTATAATGCTTAATAATGTTTTTGTTCACATTAAGCAGCCTTTGACTCTTAATAGCTGTCGGCTCTTCCTGGGGCTTGGGCGTAGAATCTCCAGGCTCACGAATATTACTCACATTTTATATTTGATATACCCTCCCCAGACACATTTAAGCAGCACTAACTTTGAATGGCAGATCAAAACTCTCCCCCTCTCCCAAGCTCAGGCATTTCATCGTGGATTTGCTGTTAACTTTATTCTGTTGCTGCTATTATCTGCTATTTTTATTTATATCTGTAATTGCTGCTGTTTACCTCTTGCTTTCATGGGTTGTAGAATCTTATCTTAATCTGGATTTCTTTAATGTTGTAAGCTACCTTGAAGTATGTTCAGTTGAACGTGGTCATGTGAGTTGCTAAACTGGAAATAACACAATCCTCTCCCCCCCCCCCCCCCCTTTGGATTACCTTCCATGTCCTCACTTTGAGAGACTGACATAGTTTATTCCTTGAGTCTCTTTAGCACGCAAAGTATATTGTCAACAGTGTGATTTCAGTGCTTCTGCTTTTGCAAAGTTGTGATTGTTTGTGTGCTTTTGCTGGCTGTTCCATAGAGCAGCTGTTTGTAGTTCAGCAGTCACCCTCGTTTTAGAGTTACTTCAAATAGAGACTGGAAACATTCTGCCTCTTAGTGCTTTATCTCGTTAATGATTTAATAGAACCTTGTGCAGGAACAAACACTATCAGACAAAAGTCCTCTTCCTGAAAGTGTTTATATTTTAAATGATGCACAAATGATTCTGCGAAGCAGAGGAGGTGGATTTGCTTAGAAGTGTGGTCGTCTGTAGAAGTGGAGAACAGTGGTGCTTGTTGCTTATGCACGACGAAGGAAAACAAGCCAGAGCTAAATCTGTTGTTGTGCTTCCCTTTTCTTAGGAAACACTTCGCATCCTACATGAACTACGAAAATCCTCCACCATATCCCGGCCCGGGCCCTACTGCCCCGTACCCACCATATACCCAACAGCCAGGAGGACCCCCAGCTCCCGGCCCGTACCCTGGCTACCCACCGGGGCCTACGGGGCCATATCCAGCACAGGGGCCATATCCAGCACCTGAGCCAGGCTACCAAGGATATCCACAGTATGGTTGGCAGAATGCTCCTCCACCTCCCGGGCCAGTCTATGCAGATGGACCTAAAAACACAGGTAATGTCTGCTGCTTGCGTCCAACTGTGCTGCCATCATGCTTTTATTTTTCATTGTCTACCCTTATCAGTATATTTATTATCCCCAGAGTAAGGGGATTGTTAACTTCACCAAACTGAGCGGGTATGACTTGGCTTCCCTGCACTTATAGCCATCCCATCAGTTTTCTGCCCCAAAGAGTGGGGAGGATTTCCATGATGGAGAAGTGGATTGCTCTCTCCACTTCCGGCCATAGTTGCAGGTCTGGCTCTTTGCGTTTAGCCTGTCGTTGCTATTTTTGGTTCTCTTGTTTTATAAAATATGTCAGTTCCTGGTCCTAATGGGCAGGTGTTCCACAGGTTCCTAAATTGCAGGTGCAGGGAAGGTCATCTCAAGCAGCTGTCTGTGCAGCTTTTATTCTGGCAGACACATTCTTGGGATTGATCATAGCATAGCATGTATTAATACAAATTGCTGTGAAACCGACTGCTGATCCCAGAGTCCTGCTGCCCACCAGAGGGGGTGGTTGGTGGGAGGGAGGAATAAGGTAGGCCCTCCTCCCCCTTCGGAGAACTGTTAAGTGTGTTGTTCACTGCCAGCATGGATGGAGCTCTGAGCTCTGGAAGGTGGGCAGTGAGCGCAGCTGTCCACGTTCCAAAAGAACAAAAAAGAACAAGAGTGTTCCTTGACAGGAACAGCCCTTTAAGCAGCAACTGCTGCCTCTTCGCTTGCCCTCTCCTTCTAAGCATTACTCATCTCTCTACCAGTCCGGGCTGTCCAGCGCAGGGGCTTGCTCCTCTTTGCCTTCTAATGGTGGCAAAGAGCTTCTGGTGGATTGCCAGCTGTGGCATTCTAAAATGAAAGCCGGGCAAGATTACATCTTGGTGAGCCTGCAGTGCAAGAGACAGCAGAGGGAGGTTTGTCACTGTGTGCCCGTATTTCCTCTTGTGATGATCCTTCTAATTGGCTTGATTCGCAAGTAGTAGCCTGCTCCCAATGAAATCTGCTCAAAGATTTCTGCTCACTGTTGTCCCCTGAGCATGCGGCTGCCCCACCCCCATGTGCTTGTTCCTGGGTGTTGGTCAGTGAAGTAGAGACCTGCAATGGTGGGGGGGGGGTTGATTTGTTTTTTTTCTGGAGAGACCACTTTTTAATTGGGGCTGAAGAAAAATCCTGTTCTTAGAACAATCCCAAAGTTGTTGACTGTGAAACTTACAAAGCCTGTAATAGAATATATGTAAATGAGGCACCTTTGACACTTTTAACTCACGTCCTCTGCTCTGCCAAAACAAGTGGATGGGTTTCATAATAGTAGAACTCCTAGGCTGCGTCCACACTGCCACAGCTGTGGGCGTTTTGCACGTAGAAAGAAATAGTTGCCTTCCAGGTAAGAATTCCAGGTGATGTCTAATGTTCAGTGAAGTTCTCGGTAGGAAGAACTAAGCCTGAGACTGGAATGTCTTTATTTTGGTAAAAGCAGCCTACTCTGAAGCGGCTAGTAAAGCAGATCTGGGGAAATTCCTTGGCTGACTGGCTCGCTTCCAGTCTCTCGTTAATGTTAGATGTGGTCCATTGATTGAACCGATAGTACTTTCCAGGGCTCTTTTTGTAGAAAAAGCCCAGCAGGAACTCATTAGCATAATAGACCACACCCAACAGCAGAAACTCATTAGCATATTAGGCCACACCCCTGATGACACAGCTCATTAGCACATTAGGCCGCACCCCCATGTTACCAGAAGTGTAGTCATCCAGCCACACCCACCTTTCGCTTCATATTCTGTTTATCTTGTTTGTTGTCCAAACCCAGGGCTTTCTTTGGAGCAGGAACTCTTTTGCATGTTAGGCCACACACGCCTACTGTAGCCAATCCTAATGAGTTTCTGTTGTTGGGTGTGGCCTATTATGCTAATGAGTTCCTGCTGGGCGTGGCCAACTTGGGGGCCAGCTGGAATTCTGTTCCTGTGCGTTCCTGCCCCAAAATAGCCCTGGTACTTTCTCTTTTTAAACAAATAATAATAAAACAGGCTAACTTGCAATTGGTTCAGCTCTCTGCAGACCAATTCACATGGTACAAAGTCCTTGTGAGCACCATGAGACCTTCCAATCAAACAACACAGGGAGTTCCCTGTTGGTACTCCTGGCCACAGAAGACCATTTCATGAGCAACAGTTACAGGCAGTGTTCCCTCTAAGCTGAGTTAGTGTGAGCTAGCTCACAGTTTTTAAGCCTCCAGCTCACACATCTTTGTCTTAGCTCAGGAAGGATGGCTCCAGAGCAAACTGATTTATGCAGTAGCCAAGTCACTCGCTCACAACTTTAATGTCAGTAAGCTCACAAAGAAGAATTTTTGCTCACAAGACTCCACAGCTTAGAGGGAACATTGGTTACAGGTTAGTGCAACCCTATTTTCCCAGGTGCAAAGGGGTCCAATTCAAACTGGGACTACGCCACATGGGAAGAAGGGTGTAAGGTCCACTCCCTGCACTGTTTTCCCAATCTGAAGCTACTCTTAGAGGCCGCTGTTTGCCCCATTGGGAATATTTGCATACATGTTTCTTCAACAGAGCAAAGAACAGCTCCTTGGGGCATTTCAGGTCAAGAAAATGCTGTGGGGGTGGATGGCGGGAGACTTAAACACCCTCTCCCCATCTGCCGTGGTCCTGATTCAAGCCAGGAATTCCAAGCGGGGAACTGCCAACAGTGTATGCTGACCAGTTGTGTGCCAGTCCTTGAAGGTGCCACCTCTCGCCACTGACGCAACTCCACCAATTTTAATTGCTCCTCAAACAAGGATCTGTTTGATTCCTTCCGTACACCTGATTTTCCACAGTTCACTTATCAGCTGCTTTTCTTAAAGAGGTGAAGGGCTGGAGAAAAAAAGAGAGAAAACGTCATCGTCACAACCCTTCCCCCCATCAGCTCAGCCTTCCAGTTTGTCTAACAGGAAAAATGAAAATTCACAGGAGCAATTGAACACTTCAGTTTTCCCAAAGAGAAAATGTTGCCCATTTTAAGACAAGGCTTTAGCCCCTCAATGTATGGCATGTCTTAGCATAAAATCTTCAGTCTAGTGCATTAGACAGTGATTCCTGTGAGGACTGTTGACAAGTGCAGCATATTTCCAAGGATATATTGTTTAAATGTGACTATATTTCTCCACAATTAATATGCTATGTGTATGATAGTACACTGTCAAAGTTCAGAGTTTGCAGTGTTGTAAAACTAACTTGATACCCAAACTTGCTGCTAGCCTTCTTATGACTATGTGGAGCTGTTGCTATGCAGATAATACCTCTTATTTCCTTGCTACAACTTGTGCATTCTATTTTCAGTTTTCATTCCCCCCCCCCATTTCAGTTTTGCAAAAAGAAAGGTACAGCACTTAGGAGCTCGCTCTCTGAGGTATCGGGTATGTTTGCAATTTTGCATGCATAAAACTTAGGCATTCATATGCCAAATAATATGTGCTGAGTTCTAAAAGACCTTTGGTGCTGCCAGTGCATCGGTTTTACTGTGAATCTCAAGTGGTGAATATCTGTGTATGGCTCACCCCTAGCTGAAACTAATGAAATAGCTTCACCAATAGGTATACAAAAGCGTTCTTTCTGTGAGCCATGCATGTCTTTCCACAGCATTAACAAAAAAACAACAACACAACCCCACGGACTTTGCTACCTTCCCTTATGCTTATCACAATATTGGTTTTGCAGGAAAATGTACAACTCAAGCCGCGACTGGCTGCCATTCTCAGCGCTGGTCTGTTGTGGTGTAAGAGACTGAGTTTTTAATGGGTAAATAGTTTGGGAAGGGAGTTCTTTTTTTGCATGGCTGAGGATGGCATGACTGGATAGAGGTGGCTCTGTTGTGCAAAAAAGGGCAAAGGCAAGTCTTGTCCTGGTCTGGTAATCCGAGGTGACTTGTGGTCCACTGAGGTTTCCTGGAAAATTGGTCTCTGGATTTTGAGCCGCTTCCTTGACAGCGGGAGGGAAAAAGCTTCCCAGATAAAATGTTTAGATCGAGGGGCAAACATATAAGACCAAAATGTCCTGGGAGGCAGAAAGCAAGTCATGGAAAGGACCTTTTTAAGCTTAAAAGTCGCTGTTATACCTGCCTGGATTTTGAAGCTTAACTGAACCTGGTGCTGTCCCAGTCTTTCCCCTGTACTCTTCTATCAGTAGTGCTTTTAAGCAATAAATGGCTGCTGTTATTAAACAGTACTGTATGTGCATGATAAACAATTCCAGGCTTTTTTTCCCAGTAGCCCTTGTAATACTTTCAAGTTTTTGAAGAAGAAGAAGAGTTGGATTTATACCCTGCCCTTCACTCAGAGAGCAGTTTACAATCTCTTTCCCGTTGGCATACCAAACTAGGAAAGAAATAAAGTACAGATAGGCCTAAATCTAATTTCTGATCTTAATATTGATTAGAACAGCTCTGTATTTTAACACTTTTAGATTCTTATTTATAATTTTAGATGCCATAATATTTTATAATTTTATTGCTCCCCTATCTGTACTTATCTGTCTTCTATTATACTGGTCTATGACCGTAATAAAGGCTTGTTGTTGTTGTTGAGAGAACAGCTCTGAGAGCTGTGAGTGGCCCATGGTCACCCAGCAGGCTTCATGTGGAGGAGTGAAGAATCAAACCCGGTTCTCCAGATTAGAGTCCACCACTCTAAGAGCCAGTTTGGTGTAGTGGTTAAGTGCGCGGACTCTAATCTGGGAGAACCGGGTTTGATTCCCCACTCCTCCACTTGCACCTGCTGATGTGACCTTGGGTCAGTCACAAGCTCTGGCACAGCTGTCCTTGAAAAAGAGCAGCTCTCTCAGCCCCACCCACCTCACAGGGTGTCTGTTGTGGGGAGGGGAAGGGAAAGGAGCTTGTAAGCTGCTCTGAGACTCCAAGTGAAGGGCGGGGTGTAAATCCAATCTCTTCTCTTCACTCTTAACCACTACACCAAACTGTACAGGACTATAAATCAGAAGTAGATAATGGAAGGTTTCAGATTTCCTTAT